GATTCAGTGCTACACGTGTAAGCCCCAGCGTCACCAGGCTCCACACCGTGGATGATGAGCTCAGCGACGCTGCCCTTCAGCTTCATCTCGTACTTGTCGCTGGGCTCCAGGACCTTGCCACCCTTCCTCCACTCAACAGGAGCATCCGGCTTGGAGATCTCGCAGTGCAGGACGGCCGTTCCCCCTTCCTTGGACTCCACGTTTTTCAGCTCCTCCTTAAACAGCACTGGTTTAACTGCAATGGAGAGGCAGACACAGGGGTGATGGAGGGGATGGTGACACACTTGCACCTTCTCCCATTTCCCTTGGGCCACAGGCCATCTCAAGGGCTTCATGTGTGCACCTGCACTTGGGGTGTTTTTGGATATCTTGCAGATTCCAGGGCTACTCTCTCGTCACTTCAGTTACTGCCCATGGTTCCAGGATATGTCCTGACGCATTATAACACTTTCTAGTATGCAGCACGAATATATTATTGGTTGGGTTTCTGGACAGCTGTTTGGGCCTGCTTTAAGAACATACTGACTTTTTTAGTCAATGAACAGTAAATATATCTCATAAATCAGCTATTTGATTAAAGGTAATGCTTGGAAGAAGCACAACCCACCTAAATTGGATTACATTGATAACTTCATATGCATACAGCTTCACTGAAAAGTAGGACTAATTTACATCTATGTAGCTGCAAATCCACATTTTGTTTGTATCTCCAAAATCTACATTCTGAGAAATCATAGAAGAAGCAACAACATAAGATGTGGTTCTGACCTGTTTCTAAAATCATTCTACAGAACATAATGGAAGTTATTTTCCAGGATTTATGAAGGATAAGCAGATCTGATCCAACAACACACACTCATCTTGGTACAGGATGCCCTTCCTCCTCCCTCCATCCCACACCTCTCCAGGAACCAAGGCAGGAGTGGGAGGGCTCACCAGCACCTCCTCTACCTGCTGCCCAGGCCTTGCTCACCTTCCACTCTCAGATGTGCCGATGCCCTTTGCTGCCCCACTTGGAAGCGGATGGCTCCACTGTCTTCTGGGGTCACCTTCCTCAGGACCAAGGTGTGAACATTCCCTTGAGCTCTGATCTCAGTCAGTTCGTTGCTCTGCAGGCGAAGGTCCCCCAGGAACCACTGGCTCTCTTCACTTGTCTCCCGGGACAGCTTGCATTCAAACACTGCATCTTCTCCTTCCTGTGCAGTCAGGTCCTTCATTTTCTCCACAATGGTTACTTCTGGTTCTTTGTGGAAAGGTCAAGAGAAGTTGAGAAAGGCTTTCAAATGAGTCTTGTTGCTATCCTGGATTAATCACTTTGCTATGTTCACTCTTGATAATTCTTGACTGCATTATTTGAAAGAATCAAGGTCTTTAAATGATTACATGTGGTTTTTACGTATATGCCTAATTTGTAATGTTGCATACTTACAGATGCATAATGCATGTGAATGTATATACATACACACATTAAGCACACACACATTACATGTGTTATATAATATTACATCTGAAACTACTCTGTCCTGAGTGCACATTAAAACAAATATCTAAGACACTACATATAAGGGTAGCCAGGAAGTTAGACCACTAACACCCAGAGCAGTTGTTAGGAAGACACAAATAGCCACCTCCACAACAAAATACCTCTGACCAACAATATAGCTGAAGATAAGAGCGATCTAGCTATGAAAGGTGACAGTGCCTGAGTCATGGCATGCCACGTCCTTTAGGGTTAGAGTGTGGACTGTCCCGTTCAGCCCAGAGATTTCTGTCACAAAGTTGTTGTGAAGGGGAGACCCATCAAGCCACCTCTGTACGTTCCTCAAGCCAGGGCTCGAGAGCTCACAGGTGAACGCAGCTGGCTCACACACAAAAAATCTATGTTCCTCTAATCAGTAATTATGACTGCTGCTTCTTCTGTGTAACAGAGCAAGACAAGGCACCAAAGGAAAACAAAAGCATAAACATATGTTCCTTCCCATTGAAAGAACCTAAGACACAGGGCAAGTTTTCCAGGAAAATTAAACATGTAAAGTTTGCCCAGGGAAAAACAGAAGACCTTACATATCTTTCAGGGCTTTAAGAGATTTAAAAGGTTTCGTCCTTTACTCTCTTGCAAATGAAGTGTGTTTGTAGGTCTGCAAACACCGTTTCAGTGAAAGGACGCTCTATCATGACTAGGTCATACCTGACTCTGCTTTGTGTTCCAGTCATCCACACTGACATTGCATAAGGTGAGGGGAAGAAAGCTAGCTTAAGGTTTCAGTGAGGTATTTATTTATACTGCTTTAATGGATTAATAATAACATCAATAACTATTGAAGCCATAACCCTTCAAAACAGGAAATTCAGTATTTTCCCTAACTCTTACTCCAAATAAATTATTTTAAAAGAGTAGAGAGACACTTTCAGATGTGGGTTCAGTCTGCTACTCTCAAGGTGACTGGGGTGAGAAATCTGAGTAGAGAGATCAGAGCATTTCTATCACATTCCACTTTACCTTGCACATGCACAGAACCCGTGGTGATTGCGGATTCAGTGCTACACGTGTAAGCCCCAGCGTCACCAGGCTCCACACCGTGGATGATGAGCTCAGCGACGCTGCCCTTCAGCTTCATCTCGTACTTGTCGCTGGGCTCCAGGACCTTGCCACCCTTCCTCCACTCAACAGGAGCATCCGGCTTGGAGATCTCGCAGTGCAGGACGGCCGTTCCCCCTTCCTTGGACTCCACGTTTTTCAGCTCCTCCTTAAACAGCACTGGTTTAGCTGCAATGGAGAGCAAACACAGCGGTGATGCAGGGGATGGTGACACACCTGAAACTTCTCCCCCATCTCCCTTGGGCCACAGGCCATTTCAAGGGCTTCATGTATCCACCTCAAAAATTTTTAGATATTATGCGTGTGCCAGGGCAACTCTCATGTCACTTCATTTTTTCCCAATGCTTCTAGGATCACTCCTGACACATGATAACATTTTCAAATGTGCAACACAAATATATCATTGGTTGGCTTTCTGGACAAGAGTTTGGATCACATTTACGGACTTACTGCACTTTTAAATCAACGAGGAGTAAAATATATCAATGATTTAATGAAATGTGATGCTTGGAAGAAGACCTATCCACCTAAATGGAATTACATTGATTTGTTTACACCACTGAAAAATAGGATTTATATCTATGTAGCTACAGATATACTTTTAATATTAATTGTTTTTTCTTAAATGACTTTTTAATTTTTTTAAATCATTCTAAAGAGCATAATGGATTTCTATTCACAATGTCTCTGACAGATAAGCCAATATGATCCAAAAGCATCATAAATGGGAGATTAATTCAGAGCATATTCTTGACATGCTCTCGGGCACTGATTTCAACACACCTTGCTGCAAGATGTCCTTCCTCCTCCCTCCATCCCACACCTCTCCAGGAACCAAGGCAGGACTGGGAGGGCTCACCAGCACCTCCTCTACCTGCTGCCCAGGCCTTGCTCACCTTCCACTCTCAGATGTGCCGATGCCCTTTGCTGCCCCACTTGGAAGCGGATGGCTCCACTGTCTTCTGGGGTCACCTTCCTCAGGACCAAGGTGTGAACGTTCCCTTGAGCTCTGATCTCAGTCAGTTCGTTGCTCTGCAGGCGAAGGTCCCCCAGGAACCACTGGCTCTCTTCACTTGTCTCCCGGGACAGCTTGCATTCAAACACTGCATCTTCTCCTTCCTGTGCAGTCAGGTCCTTCATTTTCTCCACAATGGTTACTTCTGGTTCTTTGTGGAAAGGTCAAGAGAGGTTGAGAAAGGCTTTCAAAGGAAGCCTGTTGCTTTCCTGGATTGATCGCTTTGCTATGCTCATTCTTGACAATTCTTGACTGTGTTATTTGAATGAACCAACAACCACAAAGAACTAAATCCTACATGTATGTACATGCATAATTGGTAATGTTGCATGCTTACGGATGAATAATGTGTCTGTAAATAATATATATTTACATATATTAAGCACATACCCGTTACATGTGTTATATGCTATTGGATGTGAATCTATACTGTATTGTGTGCATATGGAAGAAATATCTAAAAGACAACATTGAAAAGCAGACAGGAAGATAGAAGTATGAGCACACTGAGCCGTTGTGGAGGTGGCCATTTGTATCTTGCTAACAAAAAAATACCTCTGACTAATAACTTAGGTGACGATAAGGAGAACCCAGCTCCAGAGGGGACAGTGCCCAAGCCATGGCATGCCACATCCTTTAGGGTTAGAGTGTGGGCTGTCCCAAACTCCTGTCACAGATTTGCTGTGAAGGGGAGATCCCTCAAGCTACCACTGTACATTCTTCACGCCGGAGGGTGAGAGCTCACAGGTGAATGTGGCACGTCAAGTTGTCCAGGAAGATTAAAACTGTAATGCTTGTTCCAGGAAGAAGACAAAAAAAACACCTTACATTTCTTTGAGGGATTTAAAAAGACTTTTGTCCTTTACACACTTGTAAATCAATTGTGTTTGTTGGTCTGCAAACACTGTTTCAGTGAAAGGACACTCATGAGTAAGTCATACCTGACTCTGCCGTGTGTTGCAGTCATCTGCATCCACATTGCATGAGGTCAGCGGCAGAAAGCTAGCTTAATGTTTCAATGGGGTATTCATTTATAAGCATTTATTCTATGCTTAAATAGATGATCAAGAACATCAACAACTACTGAAAACATAAACCACCAAAATAGGAAGTTCAGTATTATATCAAAGAGTTACCCCCCAAAAATCTATTTAAAATAGTAGAGACTCAAATTTCTGAGGCAACTTTGGTTTGCTACTGTCAAAGATACTTGGGTGAGAAATTTGGGCAGAGAAGTCACAGCATTTCTGTCACATTCCACCTTACCTTGCACATGCACAGAACCCGTGGTGATTGCGGATTCAGTGCTACACGTGTAAGCCCCAGCGTCACCAGGCTCCACACCGTGGATGATGAGCTCAGCGACGCTGCCCTTCAGCTTCATCTCGTACTTGTCGCTGGGCTCCAGGACCTTGCCACCCTTCCTCCACTCAACAGGAGCATCCGGCTTGGAGATCTCGCAGTGCAGGACGGCCGTTCCCCCTTCCTTGGACTCCACGTTTTTCAGCTCCTCCTTAAACAGCACTGGTTTA